CGTGAGAACCAACAGGGTAGAAGAAAACTAAAATGCATTAGGACTTAACGATGAGCATTCATATTATTCCAAAAAAGTTTCAAGCCTGTCATGATTGATTAAACTCTATGGATGCTGCATTTTAATGCCACTAATGAATCAACAACATGAACAACATAAAACACATTAATAACACCATTTAATTTCAAACCAAACAGATTATAGGAATTTAACCATCCAAGCAAAACGATATAGAAGAAAACAACGGACCTTTGAAGCCTCTCAATATATTAAAGATCTTTCAACATGTTACAAGAAGAATACAGCACGATGGCTGAGCGCGAACAAACCCTCGGCAAGCAACGGACTGACCGAGTTTCGCCGGAAGAACTCAAATCTGACAATAGCTCGGACGGAACACTGACTCGACGACCTCGAACGGGACGATGACTGGAAACTTCTCACGTTTCTGTCACTATTTTTGCTGCATTTCCGGCCAGTTATGGTAGCGGCAGATGTGGGAGGGTGGAACGGTAGTAGTGTGTGTGTGTGTGTTCGCCGGCTTCAATGGTGGTCGCCGGTGACGTCGTGCGTCTGGTTTCCGACAAACAACGACTGGTTTAAGTTGTTTGGTCGCTAGTTGGTGTTGTCACTTGCCGGTGATCAATTCCGGCGAAGCAACAACTCAAGTGAAGGAGATGGCAGAAGGGTCGAGGTCATGTTTATGGGGTGGTCGACCGGTGTTTGACGACGGAGATGGGGTGCTATATACTGAAGGAAAGGATGAAGAAGGGTCGACTGGTTCATTGTTAATGGGAAGAAGCAAAAGCACGATGGCTATGGCTGCTACGCTCAGGCGTCAGAGAAGATGAAGAATGGGGACGGGGGTCGGTCGTCTGGTTNGACCTCAGCAGTGATCGCATTTGCGACCCCTCTGTCGCATTTGCGACCTTAGTAGCTGAAGTCAGGCTTCGCATTTGCGACCCTCACATTTGCGAACCTTGTGTCGCAAATGCGACATCAGAGGCCTGTGCCCAGCTCTTTTAATGCGGGACTTAGGCCATTTATTTTATTTCACTTCATCTCTTGGGCGATTTTTGGAGCTTTTGGAAGAGGTTTTCACCTAGAACTTTGAGGTAAGTAATTTTTACACAATATGAGTTAAATACATAGATTATGGGTAAATTAACATGTAAAAAATTAGTGAAAATTAAGGGTTTAAATGAAAATTTAGGTTTTTGATAAAAATTAGATTTGACCATGAAATTGGTTATGGAATTTAATGAAAAATCATATATTTATGTTCCTAAGATTATGATTAACAACTTTCTTCGAAAATTTTCGGAATCCGGGCACGTGGGCTTGGGAGTGAATTTTAGGAATCTTGCATTTTCGATTGGGTAATCACTTTAATAGTGGATATATGAACTTTTGAGCATAGATTGATTAATTTATGTAATGTTTGACAAGTTTCAGGTCATTTGGCACCAAATTTAGAGGTTTGAGCACCTTTTTGGACCGGGAAGTTGGCCTTAAGACGAGGTAAGTCTCTTTTCTAACCTTGTAAGAGTGAATTTGCCCCATAGGTGAACTTAATTAATATGTGTTGTTATTTGTGGGGGCTACATATGTACGAAGTGACGACAGTCCGTACGTAGCTACTATTCTTGTTTATGTCCGGGTAGTTTTAAGATTTCACCATGCTTTGTGGATACCGTTATTTGATTATATTTGCTATTTATATCAAATGGAGCTAAGCTGAGGAATTTTTTTAAAAACTTAAAAGCTTTAAGTTGAATTGTCTTTATTTTGAAAAGAATCAAGAAAGGGTTATGCCTTATTAATAAATTTATATTTGACCGCATCGCAAGTATATTCCGCGAGCGGGGTAATTCTTTCTACTACTCTCATGGGAGCGGGCCGTTCGCCTCGGCAGGTTAATAGATGCATCTATGGTTCGAGCTGTTCGACCCTCGGTAGTGCACATTTTACATTTATGTTGGATCGGGCCGAACGTCCTCGACAAAATTTTGTGCGTGATAATAGGATTGGAAGTCCCTTTTATAATTGGTATAAATTCATTGTTTGAGAATTATTGTTTTAAATGAAGGAAGTGATTTGGGTTCTTAAATATGGTGAAGAATTGTTAAGTTATTTCTTGTTCTGAGCTTTATTGTTATGTATCATGCTTAATTAAAATTTCATATTATCATATTGTTGGCCTTAGTAAGTGTCGGAGTCGACCCTTCGTCACTACTTTTTCGAGGTTAGACTAGATACTTACTGGGTACATATTATTTATGTACTCACGCTACACTTATGTACTTAAATTTATAGGATCTGAAGCAGGTGCATCTGGTTACCAGTCTGGTGCACAAATTTGATCCCCATCTCGAGATTTCACGGTGAGCTGCCTTCCGAGCCGTTCTGCAGCAGCTGGAGTCTCTCTTATGTTTTATTTTTTTTGTCAATTTCCTTTCAGACAGTAGGCTAACATTCTTTTGTATATTCTACTAGATTGCCCACATACTTGTGATATCAGATCTTGACACACACACTAGTAGACTTATGATTTTGGATTTGTTTACATGATTTCGATTTGTACTCATTTGCCTCCGTTTAATCATGTTATATTTGCAAATTTCTAAATCTTTCTAACAAACGAGGATATGTTATCCACTTAGTAATTTATTTAAATGGGAAACCACTATTTGGTCAGTGTTGGCTTGCCTAACAACAATGTTAGGCGCCATCACGACCTATAATGGAATTTAGTCGTGACACTAATGATAAAAGAACATTTATCATTTTACCTTTTACATTATATAATACTAGTGAAGTAAATATTGCACTAATAGTGTACATATATATTGTTCTACCGCTATATACATATCACTAGCTTCCATTATTTGAACTTTTTATTTCAAAATTGTTTTTTTTTTTGGGAAGATCTATTTAATCACTTGCAACTTGCCAAACCATATTTACTTTCAACTATAAAACAAAAATATTATATGACTAATAAACCAACTAAATTTACCTTTTTGTATTATTATATTGAGTTTAAATTATACACACCCTTAGTATAGAGAAATTTTTCTCGCTAATAGGTCATCAAAAGAATATTGATAGGTAAGCTCTCTTAAAATATGAGATCTATAATCTTGAAAATAAGACAGATTACCTGCTATATCATAAGTAAAAGTGACTCGATGGAGTAAAAAATTGTTTATATTGGCTAACTTTTAGTGTTTTTATCCCGAAGAATACAACAAATTTATATAGGAAAAGGGAGGAGGTGAATTAAATTTTGTCTTCAAACTTTAATTTAGTTTGACCCCAGCCTTATGAACCATAGTGTTTCAATGTTTCTCAAAATAGGATCCCGCGAAATTAAATCAACGATTTTAGAAGTAAAAACAAGTGAAGTATTTTAACATTTGAAGGTAAAGTAGTTGACTGATAAATAGTTGACTGATGGAGTGCAAATTAAGTTGATTATGAGAAGAAAATAGACATGGTTAAATCATCTATATAATTTGTTAAACCAAAAATTTGAGGAATTGAAACTCTATAATATCACTTTCTTGAAAAGACGGTACCCCGATCACAACAAGGCAAGTTCACTTAGCGGACCATTTTTTATCAGGAAAGAAATTGTTTTTATAATTAAAAAAAAAAGTAAAAAAAGATTATGCACCTAGCTAGCTAGTTTAACTCATTATTATGTTCTGAGGAAATATTTAAATGCAAGTATAGCATCAGACTTAGACCAACAAAAATTGATAACTTCATGAAAATAGTACACTGGACGAGCGTGCTTTGAGCCTTTGACTATATCTTGGGGCACAATTAATTGTAGATATCATGAATCCGAGATGTAAAATACTAAGCTGAAAAATCCGGATAACTATTTTCCTATGTGCCAGTCGCTAGCGGGAGAAATTCAAAAATAGTCAGATTTACAAGTGGTCAATAGAAATAGCCACAGTTTTAAAAGTAATTGAAATTTAGTCATTTTTCATGTAAAGATAAATCTGAACAAAAACACCGTTCAAAATCCAGAAAATTTTCCAACATAAGTATAATGGAACTCCAGTCCAGCATTATACTGGAGTTCCAATATAATATATCGGTCCAGCATAATATGCTGGAAGTTCATGCACAGGTGCTCCAATCTCTAGTATATTATGCTGGAACTTTTCGCGTGTTGGAGCTTCATCATAATATGCTGAAGTTTATATACAGGTGCACCGATCTCCAGTATATTATGCTGGAACTTTCCGTGTTGCAGCAACATAGTGACTATTTTTCAATGACTTTGCAAACGCTGACTATTTTTGAATGACCAGTTCGAAAACTAGCTAACCCGTGGGCCCGGATGAATAAGATGACCTTGATCCCTCAATAGCAACATGTTCAAGTTATCATACTTAGTTGTGTTAAATTCAATAAAACCTCTAGTTTGTCTTGTGATATATATTTGTCTTAGACCAAAACAGACAATTACAAAATTCTTTCACCCATTCCAAACTTCAAAATTTTTAATCTTGAGTCCATCGAATTGAACACCTCCCAATCACAATAAAACTTCACATTTTTTAGTGCGCATTTAATTAATGAATTTAAGGTTAACCCTACCTAAAGTTTCTTGTCAAAATTAATGCCAACATACAAAAAAGTCCAAAGATTAAGCAAGAGTTAACCAAAAAAAACAATAATGTCAGTTGATTATTAACTCATATCATCGTCGTACCAATAAAAATAAAAGTGAAAGATAAGTTTAATATATAAAAATAATAAGATATAATAACAATATTAAATATTCTGTAACAAGACTAAAACCGATACCCAACTACAATAGTTATCATCTATATCGAGGATACAGACAACTCGAATAAGTTAATATATCAAGAATAATGCTTCTTTAATCTACATATTTGTCCCTATAAATATGTATTATTAGTAATTAAGTTAATACAACTTCCTATAATTTGCTTCTTGTTATTTCATAGAAAGAAGAGAAAGGTTGAAAAATGGCTGAATCTTATGTTTACTATTCTAGGTTTTTCGTGATACTTCTTAGCTTACTACTCATTGCTTCAAATGGTGAGTTAAGAAAAAGGATTTAGGCTTATATATATTGACATTATATATAAATAATTTTTATACAATTATAACATGTAAATTTCATATTAAAGCAATAATTTTCTTTCCATTTTTTATATCATCACTTCATAAGCATCACAATAGTGCTCTCCCCCCCCCCCCCCCCCCCCATTTGTTCACAACTTCGCCACTATATCGAGGGTCGAGCTATCAATAACAACAACAAAAAATTCAGTGTAATCCTACAAAGTAAAGTCTGGGAAGGGTAGAGTATGTTGGATGTGCGAACAAAAGTCCACATTGGTAGCTGAAAAGATTGAGAGCCTACATATAAAGTGTAGAAATCTCATAATGATGTGAGACCTTTAGGGAAAAACCGTGAGGGCTTGAACTAAAGGGGACAATATCACATTATGTTAAGAGTATTTTTGGGTTGGTTGAGTCCAACAGAGTGTACGTAGACCTTACTCGTATCCTGGCCTCACTTTGTGGGATTACACTAGGTTTGTTGTTATTGTGGTAGCTCGACACTCGAGATAGTGACGAAGTTATGAACGGACGACACTTTGTGGGATTACACTAGGTTTGTTGTTGTTGTGGTAACTCGACCCTCGAGATAGTGACGAAGTTATGAACCAACGAGTTAAGCAAAAAGGGAATATAAATTAACTTATCTTCAATGAGAATATAAAAATAACTAGCAATTTCGTTTCCCATTGTATTTTGCTCTTTCTTTTCTCTTTAATTTTTATTTTTATCTTATTTATTTAGTTTTTTTTTGTGGGCAGATATTGAAGCTGTGAAGAGTACTGCTGATTTTTGCACAAAATTTAGTGCTACATTTGTGAATCAATGTTACCATGATCAATCTTGTATTGATAATTGTAAGAGGGAGGGGTTTGTTTATGGTGGGGAATGTGAGTGGAAAGGGATTTGGCACGGATTTGCTTGCATGTGTTTCTATTATTGCTGAGAGACGAATTTAGAATTTAAAGTTTATATTTTAGCCTAAATAATAAAGTTGCTTTAAGTTTGTTGTTACACTATATGTACTCATCATCAATGAAATAAAATTGAAATATGTATACTTCATCTTTGTTTGATATGTAATTGTGCAATTAGAGAAATAAAAAATACTAAGCCTCGCCGCTATGGTGATGGTTGCGAGGCCACAAACATCATTTTTATCAAGGGAATTCAAAAAATAAGAAAGTAAACACGTGAAGAAGTTAAGGGGATTCAACATTTAATATATATATATATATATATAAAAAAAAATTAACCTTTATATACACAGTGTAATTTTCGGCGAATGAGGATTGGCTGAATCCCCTTCCGCCCACCTAGCTCCACCTTTCGCTGCGGCTTGCGAGAGTGGAGAAAGAAGGAAAAAGATCACTTTTAGCCCGCGATCGAAACTATTTAAATATATAAAATTCATATATTTTTTTGTATATAACATACAAAAATGTGTATATATACAAAAATATACAAACAAATATATTTTTTTTGGCTATTATTTTGAAAACGGTACACTGGTCCAACTTGGGAAAAGAATGATTTTGAAACTTTCCTTTTAAAAAATAAAAGATGATGATGTGTCAAAATTTATATGACGTGGATATATACATTAGTCTTGTTACGCAACACCTTTCTGATGTTCTTTGGAAGGGCAACGTAAGGCTAAGCAACCGATGTCAGTACGGTTGTTGTCCGCCAATGAGGTCCCCTCCGCACGCTAGACTAGATTGTCAGTGTCGTGCGGGAAAACCATTGTCACGAGCAATTGCGGAAGCTGAGAGAGAATTGGGTTTTGAATGATGATGATGATTTTATTGATAAATGAAATGCTGATTACAAAAGATGCGGTGTCGAGGGGGAGAGACACCACTACAGAAAATTGATTACTGAAAATGTTTGATTGCTTGATCCCCCTAGTAATACTTAAAAAAAATAAACCAAAATTACATGACTAGTCCTAATAAAGCTGTAGAAGCACACTNCGCATGTCTGGAAAGCAACCCATGACAGTTCATATGGAGAATAGACGATGTCAAAAGTATTTAATTTTAATAAGTAAAGGTGTTCAAATGAAAAAAACTAGTAAAGGTAATAGCCGGGTGGAAAAACCGGTGAAAGTTTAATCCTTACAAATTAGTCCAATGAAAATCATATTTCACTATTAAGGCCCTCCTTGTTTCTTCAACTATCATAATTTCCCCTCCTCTTTTACCTTCTTTACCTTCAGTACCCCTCCTATTCCATCTCCCCTTCACGAACCAAAATCACTCAAAAAAGAAAAAGGAAAAAAATTATGCCTTGACTTATGATCACCAAAATTCTCGTAATTTCTTACTTTTAATCAAAAGATACTTTTTCTTGATGCTCATTTTTCCCCCCTTGATCCTTCACTTATGATCACCAAAATCGAGCAACCCTTTAAGCCCAAGATCCCAATAACAACTTCAGTCCCACAATTTTCTGGTTCAATTTTGAGTTTTGGATCAAAGACAAAATCAAGATTTGACATTTATAAGGGCAGTGGCAATAATTGTAGGCTGTTGTGGGTGGATTATGAAAAAATGGAGTGGTTGAGAAAATTGAGCAGAGGGTGTTTGAGGAATTGTCCCAGAAAGGGTCAGAAGGTTGAAATTGAATCAGTTAATGATGGTGAAGATGTGTTTGATGCAGCTTCTGCTAAAGCAAAGTTGCAGCCTGAACATCTTGTTATTATGGTCAATGGTCTTGTTGGGAGGTAAAAAGATTGGATTTTTATTTCATTCTTTGTGTTTAATAATGTAATAATACTATGTGTGTGTTACAGGAATTTGTTAACTTGTAAATATGATATTGATACATGTGGGTAGAGTTACTTGATATATGTACTGGTAGGAGCTACCCAATGGAATAGTCGAGGTGCATGTAAGCTGGCTCGATACTATCATCATAAATAAAATTATATTGACTTGTGTGATTTTCTCGATTATTTTATTTTGGCATTATCGGTTACTGTTGTATTAATGATGGTTCATGTAAAGATTGAATTTTTTCATCTTTTGTTTCGTTTGTGCTTGTTAATTTAGTAGTGCAATGTGTTTGTTATTAGGAATTTGTTTGTTTGTGTTTTTATAGTCCAGGCTAGTTTGCCCGCACCTCAACTAATTCCACGGGGTACCTGGTACCGCCCGTCAGCACAGGTATCGCCAAGGTTTGGAGAGATAGAAAGATATCACCTAGTTTTTTTGCCTGCTAAGATTTGAACCCGATACCTCCTGATTCTCAACCTACTTCATTGACCTGGGAAATTTGATATTGACATTATGTGATTTTCTTGATTCTTTTCTTTTGGCATCATTGGTTACTGTTTTTATTAAGGATTTTACTGACATGATGGTTAGTTGGAATAAAGATTGATATTTTCCCATCTATATGAAACTAATTAATCTGCATTTAGGTTGCTGGCCTCCCAGAAATAATGATGTTCTATTTTCTTTTCAATTTTTTGTTTGGGTTGGAGTAGGGAGGGAAGAGGGGTATATTTCTGTATCATTAAAGCTTGAAAAGAGTTAATTATGTGAAATATGATTGTTGACATTTAGCTTTAGCAACTGTATCTTTGGACTTCCATACAAAGGGTCCATGTCATAACTGCAAAAATTTCAGATGGCATTGAAAAGTGGAATAAACGAGGAGAAAAAAGACCAATTACAGTTATAACTTTAACTTAGACACTTATAAAAAAGCATCATTTTTATCAGAAGTTAAGGGATAATGTTGATTTTAGTTGACACTTTGTCGTCTTGCCCTTTCTATGAGTGCTGAAATTTTAGTATAGTTTTACAAACCAAGAAAATCTTATCAGAATAGTTATGCATATGCTTCAACGAAGCTACCTGAAACATTTCTGACGAGAATTTAAAATGTCAGCTTACTTTTGGAGTGCTACCAAAAATCTCGTTGTGAAGGTGGGACTGATCTGTAGAGTTCATTAAGTCCATACTTGTGGTATTCTCAAAATGTTGCGCTTCATTTTGCATTTGTCTTATACTTTCTGCTTTTTCCAGTAGTTATCAAGTGGATCATGCCTCCTCTTTTTGAGTTAATTCCTATTATCCAAAATTCTTAGTAGTTTACTTCTGATGCCTTTGCAGTTCTGCAGATTGGAGATATGCTGCCGAGCAATTTGTCAAAAGACTGCCTGATAAAATCGTTGTTCACTGTAAGTTCAACTTTAGTGATGGCCAACAAATTTCAGATTGCAATCCATGATTGTCTGTTACTAATTTTTCTCTATGCATTTAATCCTGCCAATAAACGGAGTTGGCTAGTTCACAATATTTTCCTTTCCCTTTTTCCCCTTTTCTGATTTGGATCTTGTCAAATATCTTCAATGTGGTTTGGGCTATGTCAAATGTCTTCAACTGGACCGGCCCTCTGGGCTTAGTACAAGTTCCAAAGGTTGAGGGAATTGTGACTTAGGTCATAGGTTCGAGCCCTGCACCATGCAAATTAAGTCTGGTATTTAAGTGGAGAAAGATAGAGGGGCGGCTCATTATCCCTGAGTTTTGAAGGTTCTTGGTTCTAATGGTTGGTCTTAGACGGATATCTCGGTCATTAAAAAGGAATCTTCAACTGGGCCGCAGCAGGATGGTAAGTTTGTTGTTGCCTTAAGAATCAGAACCTCTGCTTGCTACTTCAGTGTAAAAAATTGTTACAAAAGCATGGAACGGTGAGTGTCCATTATTGATTGAGTACGATGTGGTTTGCTAGTCGCGTTAAACCATCCAAAGGAGTACATAGAAGGAGAGTTTTGGAGTTGAAGAATATTAGAGTCTTACCAAAGATATGAACATCTGAAGCGACACAAGGGGTAGTGGGGTTATGCAAGGACCCTTGTGATGAAATCTGATATGTACATCAGCTGAGTAGTTTGACCTGAAGTTCTTTATTGTTGAACTCCTCCACCAATAAGGAGGTTCAAGCATCAAAAGAGGCATCATAAAAAGCTTAAGGAAACTTGGTAACTAATTGATGTATCGGATGAATAGCACATGGAACGTTTGTAGAAACTTTTGGGAAGTTCATCCATGTGATCTCATGAATTGGATTAGGCATCGGTGTGGATAATATGGGAGTTCGTCAGTCAGTGTATTTGTGAATGAAGTGAACTTTGGACGTCAGTCTCCAAGATAGATGTGAAGTTGGAAGTTTGGTTGGCTGACAGATGTTTTTCTTGCCCTTTGTACTTGATTTCCAGAAGTTACAGTCGGATTATGTCACTTTAGGTTGTGAGTTGTGACAAACTAGTAGCTTATGCGTATAGCTTATATCTTGCTATATTAGATATCTACTGTAGAAACATTGTTATACATAATCTGTATTGTCTTTCCATCTGGTTGGGGTGATGGGTAGAATAGGTAAAACCTATATAATTTATACTGAAATGTCACCATTTCATCCTTTTTTTACCTCAATGGTGTAAGAAATATAAAAATTTTGTTTGTTCTGTCGGGCGTCTTTAGTTATAGACCTTTTGTTTCAAGTTTGTTGCTTGAAATTTACCTCCCAACAGCTTGGTTTGTCAACTAAAATAAAGATGTCATGATTTGCTGGGTTTAAGAGCAAAGTGTGACAAAAGCGCATGCTCTAATAAAGAAAGGTGAAGGTGGAGGAAAATAAACATTAATATGTTCATGTAATGCAAAAAGGTAATAATCATAAACAAGAACTGGATGGACAAAGTAATTGAAAATTTATGATACAGTGAAATACATAAATTGCTGCCTAAGCGATGCAAGGTTCAAATCCTTCATTGAAACAAAATTTAAGGCTTATGTACAACTCAAGTGTGCTTTTAATAATACTGTCCAAAATTTTCCTTTTTTCCCCTTTCTGTGTATCTTGTGATGGCAAGCATAACCATTGAGAGGAACTAAAGTTGTTTGAACTGACGATAACACCTTGTGACTTGCCAGGTAGTGAGTGCAATTCTTCTATGTTGACCTTTGATGGTGTTGACCGGATGGGTGAGAGACTTGCAAAAGAGGTACTTCGCTAATGGCTTTCTGATTTTTATACTTTTATTACCGAATGTAATGTCTCTTAGCAAATGTAAGTCCATTAGAATAAGTGATTTGAGGCTTGGAAAAAACCTGCTGCTTTATAGTGCAGGTGGAGGATGTGATCAAACGGTGGCCTGGGGTGCGCAAGATCTCATTTGTTTCTCACTCCTTGGGTGGCCTTGTAGCAAGATATGCTGTTGGGAGGCTGTATGAACCTCCATCAAAAACAGAAGTAGTTGATCTTAATGGCTCGTGCTTAGTCAGGGAAGAGAATGTGTCTGACCAATGTCACAATCAGTTTTCGGAAGAAACTGTTGCTGGATTAGAACCCGTGAACTTCATAACAGTTGCGACTCCGCATTTGGGCTCAAGAGGGCATAAGCAGGTGTTTCATTATCTCACAGTTTCTTTAGGTCGATTTTTTTTCTGAATCTTAGCTATCCCTATCTGGAATTACGAACTTCATTGTGGTCATTCCACTTCAAACGCTGAATATATTGAAAAGTGCAGTTTACTTAGGCAAGTTTGAGCATAGGCATCTATTAAAAGCTTCACTTAAGGAAACATGTTTGCTGCTTCATTAAGGAAGGATGATCAGAGTCTTTTCTGGTTATTTTCTTTTTTGTTTTGTTAGAGGGGGTGGAATTGCTTTCATCCTTATATGCGAACATACTGTCTTTATCTTGAACATCTTCTTGTCAATCAGTCAACTGTGCTTCATCCCTGAACTAGTTGGGGTGGATTATATGAATTATCTGTATCATTTCGGCTTTAATCGTGCCTATTTCATTCCAATGCTGAATAATTTGTCTTTCAATGCAAATTAGGGGTTCTCTAAATCTTGCATTTGTCCCTAAAATTGGCATACAGGCCTCTAACCAATCTAACAAGATTCATGGTAAACAATGGACCTAATGTGAGTCTAGCAATAACAAATCCTTAGTACCTACTAGTTGGTCACCTATATGATGATTTGCTTCTATTCATTTCTGTTCTTATTTAAGTCTGCTGGGATCCAAGAGATTGAAGGTACTTTGAGACAAATTTCCTCCATATGAAATTTATCTTGTTTGCTTTTAGCACATTCAAATATTTCAATATTGCACGTAGAACCGATGCATATTGAGGTTAACTTACAACATGACCAAACCATGTTTGGTGACGTTCTCTCATTTATTCTTTGTATGTGCTATTTGCACCATCTATTAGATGTTATCATTCCCAATCTTGTATGACTGCATGTTCTTTTTTTTTAATTGGTACGACAATACATTCATTAATATCCACATTTCTTTGATAGTCATCTAGTGAATATGCTCGACCTACTCAACAACCAATGTTCTTGTCAAGGTTCTTGGCCTTTAGACACACCTAGAGCTTTACTTGTTACTTAATGCAAATTTGTTATTTTCTTAGGCTGGATATATATATATATATATATATATATATATATATATATATCAGCTTTAAACCCGTGATCATTCTTTAATAACTTATCCTTAAATGTAATTTGGTATGTGTTTTTAGTACGTTTGGCATGCTACTTTCCTCTTGTTTCGCTCCGCTCTATAACTTTGCATTCTGGACCACCAGTCTATGTTGGCTGGTTATCTTCTTTCGCTATGCAAGTCTTGACGAGTCAGTCCTTATCACCAATTTTCTTTAATTCTAAAACTTTTTCCTTGAAACCCTGGTTCTAGAATGATTCACACCGCTTCCTATTTTTATCTAGTCGACAATATCATTATTTATAACTTAATTTTCCAATCTCTCTATCACTTTCTCTTATCTGCTTAGTCTCTTGTAGACAACCAACTCCTCCTGCTTAAGGTTTCCATTATTCTATTGGCTCCATCCTGTCAATAAGTCTATGTTACAACTACTCCAGATATGTCTCTTTCGAACTAGTTTCTTTATCCAATCCGTCTTATAAGGTGAGTTTACTATCTTAACACCACAATTCGGTATCGTTATGGTGGGACTAACTTCTTTAAGCACACCCATCTATGGTGTGGAAAACTTTGCTTATATTTCATCACACTTTGGCAATGATGTGATAAAATGCCTGCTTATTTAGTACTATGCCTAATAGTCGATGTAGACTGTTTCTATATGGACATGTTACAATGAAAATGGATGTCTATATGGTTACCAAATTATTGGAGGGAAGAAATGAAACATGTGAAGATATGACTCTTGGGCTTAACTCAACCCCAAAAGACTTGCTCGTGAGGGGAGGATTTCCTGAGATTGTGTAAGGTTATCACAACCCATTCCCTCAATCAATATGGGACTTGACATTCCCCCACACGCCCAGACTGGACAACTACAACGTGGATAATATAACACATGGGCCCAATATTGAGAAAACAACAATAGGGATCAATGCGTCTGGCTCTGATACCATGTAAAGATACGGTCCTTGGGCCTAATTCAACCCCAAAAGCTAGTTCATGAGGGGAGGATTTCCCAAGACCGTATAAGGAGATGACAACCCATTCCCTCAGCCAATGTGGGACGCGACAAAACATAAGGACGTGAGGAGGGAAGAGTAAAGGGAACACCAAAGCATCACTGAAAGCTTCTTATGTATATACAATTAATCATGATATTACACCGATAATATGATACTAGTATAATTGCTTATAATGCTTGGTTCTGATAAACACTTAGCTGCTGATGGTTAGGTATTTTACTTTAGTCATGCTTTCATGGTGCGCGTGCCCCTTAAAGCTTGTGTACCTCAACACGTCTGTTAACTTCGATCTCTAACTAAAATTTATTTCCTAGATTACTTCAAAGACCAAAGTAGTTGTCCTTTTCTTTGTAATTTTTTTCGCTGTTTTGCCCAGCTGCCACTTCTCTGCGGTCTTCCTTTGCTGGAGAAAGGGGCATCTCAAACTGCTCACTGGATTGTTGGGAGATCTGGAAAGCACCTATTCCTGACTGATAAAGATGATGGGAAGCCTCCCCTCCTCCTTAGGATGGTCAATGATTCAGATGATCTCAAATTCATGTCAGTATCAACTTTAAATTTTTTTTCCCCTATTAAAGGGAAGTGGCAAATGCATTATGTTGTAACATCATCTTTGGCTTTCCGTGCAGGTCAGCATTACGCTCTTTTAAGCGTCGAGTGGCGTATGCAAACGCAAATTATGACCGTATCCTATGAGTTCGATTAGCTTTTCATATTTCTTATAATTTATATGCTTTATGCACACAAATATAGCTGGCGAAGTTTGCAAAATTTTCTGAATGAAAACCGCTAGTTTTTGGTGAAAAACTCTTATGGTTTGGGATATCCATATGATTATATGGGATTTACCAAAATTGGAATTGGTTTTATCCTTAACTCATCTCTAAGATGTTGTTGGATGGAGAACATCGTCAATCCGCCGTCAGAATGAACTTCCAAAGGTTGGTATTCCGTTGACTGACCTGCATTATCTGTTAAGAGTACTAATTTGTTCTTCTTGTATATATGTAACTGGATTTCTTTTCATTCTTCTCCAGTCTAACCTTCAAATAAAGGATCAGAAATACCCACATATCGTAAATGTTGAGCAAGAAACTGCTCTGGATATTGACCATAAAGTATCTTCACCGGATGAGAAGCAAATGATTGATTTAGAAGGTTTGTAAACCCTCTTACTCTATTTGGTAGAGTGCCCAGCCCCCACTCAAAAGAAATAAAATGAAAGTAAAATAATAATAAATAAAAAATAACAGACATTACTGCATTTTTCACTTTACCTCTAGTTTAACACATGTGCCTCACACCTTTTTGGTAATAAAGGTTATGATATTTATTATTTTCTTATTGGATATCTGTGATGCTTTCTGTTCCCACAGGCAGAGAAATTGTTTGATGTTGCTTGAGTTTTCCTTTACTTTGGTAATATTTTCATCCCAAAAAGAAAAACTTTTAGGAGTAAATCCTGATATCTACAGGATTTTGACGAGTGGTATGTTAGCAACTTTCACTTGTTAGATTGATAAAAGATTTCGATAAATTGAGGTCACTTTCTGCTGTGTCAAGATTGTTTGTGATATGATCTAGCTAGTCCTTTATTATTCTCCAGGCAGATTACTGTAACTAATAGCAGGATTACGTCATAAAGCTATTCATTCTTTTGACATGCTGCTCCCCGAGGTTTTAGAAAGAGGACCTCATTTATTACTAATTTTACATCTTATTGACAGTTACATTTTATTCAGTTTTCAGCTCCTCTTTTGTCCTTCCTTTTCTTCTTTTGGTAATAGTCTTCTATGTGATTATTTGCTGCATCGGCTTTTTGCTTCATTTGGGATTCTCATAGAGCTTTTCTTTGGCCCATCTAGAGGAGATGATTGACGGTCTTACGCAAGTACCATGGGAACGAATTGATGTTAGCTTTCACGAAAGCAGACAACGATACGTTGCGCACAATACTATCCAGGCAAGCATTAGGTTCATTATTCTTGCTGGTATTTTCTAGTCAAGCCATGTGTATTGTAACATTTCTTTTTCCTTAAGACTTATGTGTTTGACTTTTAAATATTTTGAAGTTTTGGGTCTAGTAGATTGTTCAAGTCTTTTGCTAAAAACTGTTAGCTTCAACTGTAAATGCTATGCTTTTTCTTTGGTTATTCAAATGGATGAATGTTCAGAGATACGGTAGTTTGGTATATATTAAGGAAACTGTTCTCTTTGGTTTTTCAATCTTCATTTACATTCTAGGCAACGGATATGGAGCGAAGAACTTTTGTTGTGAGAATACGATAGTTCATACTTGTTTGTTCTGTTGGCTGCTGTGCAATTATAACAGTATGCCCCCGCTCAAAGTTTCCTCTTTTTTCAATTATCTTCTCATGCATTCTCTTGTCTCTTGCCTCATCCAATAACCAGCAATAAGGTAGCAGGAGTAGTTTTTGGTCATCACCTTTCTTTGTGTGTTATGTGCAAAACACATGTCAGCAGTCAATACAAATTTGTCTGTTTGCAATCTAAAAGGTTAGATATATGAGGTTACGGCACAACTGCCGTGTCAACCATGCAAAGTGCTTCGTATGTGCTATCTTTGGGTGTTAACAGTTAACACCCCTTAGCAACTAAAATATGAATTTTGTATTATTGGTTTTTTGGGTATTTCTTTCTAGTGTCCTATTGAGCTTATTTTATTTATTGTGTTTTTAATTTAGGTGAAGACCTATTGGCTAAATTCAGATGGTGCAGATGTGATTGAACATATGATAGATAACTTCCTTCTCTAGTTGTCTGTTCATCGAGGATTGGCTGTCTCGGTGATAGCTCCTTTTGCTTATCGGTAGCGCCTATGGTACTTCATTCCAAGTCCTAATCACATGCATAACCACGAATCCGAGCATCATTGCCAAATTGTTTCTTCTTGCATGTATATCATGTGTGAGTGTTATCTTCAAGAACCTCACGAATTTGTAGTTGATCAGAAACTCTGCAATGTGTTTTGTCATTTTCTTTCATTTGTGCTTCCTTTATTTTGTCTTTTACGTTAAATTGAAAGAAATGTTCAAAGTGGCGGTAATCGCTGCATTCACAAATTATTTTTTCTCCATGAACATAGTGCTATTTATCGTATTCTTTAGTCTCTTACTCGCATCTTTTGTAAGACCACTTGAGGATGGGCATGCTGTTACTTATTGTTGTGTCTACTTCGGGCAACTATTTAGGGAACTTCACCTTCTGTATATATTTTCAGATGAACCTTTAATCCTTTACTCTTGCTGATGTGTCGCAACCTGAGGTCAGATAATGTGCTATTTTTACTATTTTGATTGGTATAAACATACTGCATTAGTATATCCATCACTATTTGTACATCACCTTTTGTTTTATACCTTTTTGTTCTTTTAAATGATTCGCGCACCATTTCTTACAATAAGTATTCTCTTTTCTAGTGTAGCATCAGGACTTTCTAGGAGGGGAACAATAGATTTTTGTGAACTTATACCCCCCNCTCTCTGCTCTTCTTTCCATATTGAACTTCCAAACTTGTTATCTTCGGGGAAATTGTGTGATATTTTTTACGGTAAATATGCTCTTCAGGCACTTGAGTGTTCCTTGCATGCTAAGCTTTCTGCACCATTTTACGGTCAAGTTAACGAACTCCGATCATACTTGAATAGTTCTAATCCTGTTGGTCTTCGTCCAGCTTTTGCATTTTACATGTTTTTTTTAAGCATCTTTCCTCCTTTGTTAGCATACTTGATAAACTTTTGCAGAACTGGTCAGCAAGATAACATAAGTATGACAAGCAATTGTGAGTCAATCGCAACTTTATTCATCTTTCTGAAGGACATATACCTGCTTGTATAATCTCAGTTCACCTTCTGACTTTGTTATTTCTATGGCGCAATGGTTTGGTGCGAGCTCAACTACCTAAACTTGGACATGAACGGCCAAAAAATAAAAACCAAAAGTATTCAAAAAGACAAATATAACATCAATAGACATTTGGGATATTTTGGTAACTTTGTTTCGCATAAAATCAACATTTAAGTAATTTACCTGGGCTGTTAGGTCAATGTATGAATTTGAAGCTTTAATCATCTTGCTAGGGTGAATTTGTAGCTACAAATAAAATAGAGAATCAGCCGCAATGTTATTGCTGCATGCTAAAAGTGAAAAAACAAAGAGTGAGGTTTTACCTTGCACTTGTCTATTCTTTCAGCTGATAGTCTCACATGTTCTGCAGCAGCCTTTATTTTCTCTATGGTTTCATCGATTGTGTGCTTAGATCCAAGTGTTATCTTCTCCTTTTCCATGTCCTAGATAGAGGGAAAATCATGAGGTTCATGAAAGTAAAGAGGTTTATAGGAAACATGGCCGATTCTTAGATTTCAACTTACCTCTTCTTCAAAGAGACGCGACAAATCTAGGTCGTGCGACATTGCTATTAGCCTAAAGGCATTTATGAAATTCGGTCTTTCGTCCACGTCATATCCTCCTTCAGTTTCCTTTTAAAACAGGCAGTCAGTTCCAATTAAATCTAGTTCTGTCTTTTCCATTCAGTCAGATTTACCTTAATTACATTGAATGTTGTATATCGATCATCCTTGCCATTGTGCTGTTTGGATTCTACGCGCACGACTGGCTCCATTTGAAACCATTCATCTTCAATAATTTCTGCTATTGTTATCCTCTGCTTGACAGGAAAGTGATCATTATTTTCGATCTCGGCTTTTTGGAGTTTTATGACACAGTTCTAGTAAGAATTAAGATTACCGTTTTTGGATTAGGGTCTAGTATCCTGGAAATTAGCTTTTTCTGGTCTTCCGTGAACCAACGTGGAAACATGCATTTAGCTCGATAGATCTTCACAGCAAGCAGATTATTAAATATAGAATGAACTTTTATGCAAGCAAAAATAAAGGATTTTTTAAAAAAATGTAAGCAAAGATATATAAAGCATGCCTTTCTATATAAGTTTGACAAGTTACTATCATCAAAGGGTAGATATCCAGCTAGTAACTCGAAAAGGATTACCCCACATGACCAAATATCTGCAGCTTCTCCCTCATAGCCCTTTTGACTGAGCAGCTGTAACAATAAAAGCAGGTTTATGAACTCGCCTGTGAATTTTAGCTCTTTTCTGTGCAGAGTTGAGTTAGTACAAAGGTATTTTAATCTTTACCTCTGGTGATACATAGCTTGGTGATCCGCATGTGGTGGATAACAATGAACTCGCCTGTGAAGTTAAGTAGTTAACCAAGTATCAATATTTGCATGTATAACTTGAATAGAAATTTTGCTATGTGTTCATGCCTTTGCCAATGTGCTGAGGCCGAAATCTGATACTTTGATATTTCCCTTGCCATCCAAAAGCAAGTTTTGTGGCTGCATTACACAGTAACTGCCTCAATCTTTTTGCATTCCATTTGTTAAGAAGCTAATGAATAGAGTCATATCATTCTTGTGTTCATACCTTTAGGTCTCTGTGATATACCCCTTTGCTATGGCAATGACCAACAGCATCAATAAACTGTTGAAAGTATTTTCTTGCCTCTTTTTCTTCTAATCTCGTTAGGTATGACTGCAATAAGGAAAGAAACACATTATTACTTTGCTTCCCTACCATCTTTACTACTTGTTCTGCTGTTTGCATCTCACCATCTGATCTGATAGTGGCCCTCCTGGTACATACTCCATGACGATATAAATTTTCGTCTTTGTCCCTATTACCTATCATTTGAAAAGACATTAGAAGTAAGCCCGTCTAGCGAATGGTAGCATATTCTTATCTATGCAAGGAAAGTAATGTTAATGTCGATGTTCTTACTTCGTGTATTTGAACTATGTTGGGGTGATTGAGGAGCTTCATTGCCCGTATTTCTCTTTTAACCTGTTGAACAACTCCTTAAGACGATAGGAGATCCCCGAAAAGAGACTTAAAAGTAAAGAGTTAACCTGACTTACTTGGTATATGAGATTGTTTTGCTTGATCATGTGTTTGTCAATGATCTTGATAGCTACTTTTTCGCCGTTGATAGTGTTAATGGCGAGCTTAATCTTTGCAAAGGTACCTTCTCCAATCGTTCTTACAAGATGATACTTCCCTATCATGTTTGAAAATCCCATTTGTTCTGTTACGAAGAAGTCAAACTCTCATTGTTTAGTTTCAAAAGTATTCTTGAAACTGCTTGTGGTTGAGGTGTTCTCGTTGTTGTTGATGTTGTGCGCTTTATATGAAAACTGCTTGGAATTGAGACGTTTTTGCTGTTGATGTTGTATGCCTTCTATAAAATATGCTCCGGATTGAGGAGTTTGTTGTTGTTAGGCGTTTTCGTTGTTGATGTTGTGTGCTATATATAAAGATTGCTTGTGAAAGGTACTTTCTTTTGTTTGAACATTTTGAGTGTTTAGGGAGAATTTGAAATCTATGGCTGAGTTTTGAATGAATAGAAGACATTGACATTGCTGGCTAGTAGTTGAATCTTGAGGAGAATGGCTGGTGAGACTTTTCCATTTTTGGTTTTCTGATTAGCAGTGAAACCTTTTCTATTATACTTCTCAAGGTTTCTTGAAGGGAGACCAAATTAAATGCCTCTTTTTAACTGCAAAAGAATTTTTTTTTTATTCATTTTCCCTTTTTGAAGTGCTACGCACTCGGTGATTCTTTAAAAAAAAGTGCAGTCTGGTACACAAAGCATCTTGCATTCACGCTAGAGGTGTTAAACGGGACGGGTTGACCCGGCCCCGCCCCAGACCGGTTGAAACCCGCCCGATCCGGTACTTAGGGGGCCGGGTTACTGGGGTTGGTTCGTTCACTTTAATTCATCCAATCAACCGGACCAGTCAACCAAAATCCCTGTAGAACTGGTTAACCGGCCCGGACCGGTTTAAAGGCTAGTTTTTAATAAATTTTTTTTAAGGTTTTAGAGTCTAAGGCAATGCAAAACCTTTGAATTTACTCGTTTTTCGTTAATTTACTTGTTAAATGTAAACCTTTCAATTTGTAAGTTTGAATTTTGAAATAAATGTAGCACTTGCAATTTATAAGTGTAATTTTTTTTCCATCTTCATTGTATTCTTTATATTTTTACTTTATATTAATATAAATTATAATAGTTATACAAAATACACAAAAAAAAAAAAAACACTAACCCGGCTTGGCCCCTTGTACCCGTAACCCTTACGGTTCAATTTTTATCTAGATGAACCCGAACCCGTTAAGAACAGTAACCCCTAACCCGTAACCAGCCCGGTTCGAAACTCGGACGGTTTCAATTTTTCCCTACCTAGCAAGGCCTGGCCCACCCGTTAGACACCCTTAATTCACGTAGGGTCCGAGGAAGAGCGGCACCTCAAGGGATGTGATGTAGATAACCTACTCTAATGCAAACATTAATGGTTGTTTCCACAGTTCATTTCATCGATAACAAAAAAGACTTACTCTAAAGGGGCGCTAGCGCTTAACTAGTAACATATCAAAGGAGCCTGAAAAAATGTAATGAGCTGCTACTCTAGGCTCGTTTCGCTTCTTCAAGCTCCGCCCCTTCTTTCAAAATTCAAAAAACAGCACTAACGAGCCAGAAAACGGATGCGCTAAGGCGCAACTTCGCGCAGGACCCACGTCCTATAGGTCATAAGGAGACAATTTTACTGTTGCTCTAAGGTTTCACTTGGTGATTCTACCAAATCAATTAACTCAAGGCATGCATCGTGTGTATAGACTTCTATCATTTAACTATCGTTAAGTGATATGTAATCTTCACTTTAGTCTATAGTTCGAGGTCAAATTCGGGGTATAGGTCTAACCACTTCAGCTTTCAGTTTCTGGCATGCTATAGTTATAGAAAGAGATCAAAACTCTCGAGTACAGATGACAAACTAAGTAACAAAAAAGTTTTATTTCCTTTTTTTGATAGTTTAGATATGCAATTAATAGATTCAGGTAACATAATTGACTCAATTAGCCTAAGATATGAATGCATTGAGGTGAGGTCTGGTTGATGGCTTATGTATAGAGAAATAATCTTCACATAAAACCTAGTGCCATTAATGCATTGGTTGGTCCTTATCCCTTTTACCTTTTTTTTTTTTTTTTGGTATTTTCACTCGGTGTTCAATATTCATTTAAGGATCGCTAATCTAGATTTGCACAGAAAAGTCACGGTTTGGGAGGTAAATGGCCTACAAAGGTGAATTTATACTAGGACTAAAATCCGAGGCCTCTGGTTGATGAAAATGTATTTATCGCTCCATCATGGTCTTTCGTGATTTATTCTTCTACTTATACTTGCATAAATTACAAAAGGATGTATATATTATTTAATAAGGAATATATGTAAAATAAGAATATAAGAATTTTTAATACATGGATTAAAATAACTCTCATATAGTAAACAATCTTTTATTTTGATAAGAATAAACACTTATTCTGTTTCTGGCACATTTGGTTAACCAGAAATAACAACCTCTTTGACAACAAAAAGGAGCGTATCAACTTTTCCAACACCATCTCCAAAGCCACTGAATACCTTATGTGGACGAAAAATGGTTCCACCAAAATAACTCATCAAATCACAACCAAATGGAAGCCACCAAGAAGAGGATTCTACAAGCTGAACACAGATGGACCAGCCAAGGAGAATTCAGGAATAGGAGGAGTAGGAGGAGTTTTCAGAAACCAAATAAAGATTGGATAATGGGGTTTACTGAGAATATCCCCCATACAACCAACACTATAGCAGAATTGAAGGCCCTCCTAAAAGGACTTCAACTTGCGGAATAAAATAACTTGGTTCCCCTTGAAATTAATATTGATTCAGCTGAAATTATACAAATGCTAGTGACAGGTAACCTCACTTATGATCCTATAATTTGTGAATGCATGTCCTTAATATGCAGGATGGATAGGGTCGTGGTGAAGCACACTTACCGGGAGCAGAATAGGGCGGCAGATGCTTTGGCTAAGGAAGCAACAAAGGCAGTTTTTTTGAACAGATCTAGTATACTACCAGTTCCTCCAATGTTTGCCAATGATGTATTTTGGACAGACAACCTAGTAACTGATTCGGTTAGATTTTTTGTAGGTTGTAATATAGAAATAATTCTACAAAACATTTCTGCAGTACGGGTACTACAGTACCCAAACAATGACTCATTTGTATAACGTCTTTTGCCAGCTAGCTATATATAAATATCCCTTTTAACCAAAAATAAATAAATAAATAAAATAAACATTGTAACGAAAGATAAATTTCGAATTGTAATTTCGAAGGGGAGCCTTAGAGCAACGGTAATTGTCTCAATGTGACCTATAAGCACGAGGGTCGCGTCATGAAAGCCACCACTAATGTTTGTACTAGGGTAGGTTATTTACATCATACTCCCTATAGGTGCAATCCTTCCTCGGACCTTGTATGAATGTTGAATGCTTTGTGCATCGGGTTGCCTTTTTTAAAATAAAAAAAAAAAATTGTGTTGCAAACAACAAATTTGACATTTTTGTACTTAAATATACATCCACACCAACCAGAAAAACAATAATAAACCAACCATATTAATTCTCTAATCCCCTTGAGCAAAATGACAAATCTAGAGTGTCCTCCCTCCTTACATTATTCTGTTTATATTAGATAGTCCAGCTTATTTACCACTAAGAATAAGAATATTTATATTCTTCCACTCAACAAAAATTAGAATAATAAAAACAAGGAATTTACTCACTCCCCATTTTGGAGAAAAAGCAAAAAATAAAATAAAATAGATGAACAAATCGATTTGGGTCATAAACTGAACAGTCAAATATACCATGGATTTAAGTTATATATACTGATAGCGAAAAGATTTTTTATATCATCAATATAGTTTAACTTGTGATAACAAGTCAGATACCAAGTTACCACTTAAAACTTATCGATCCGTTAGTATATAGAATTTATATTATTTTTAAATAATTATCTAATATTCAAAATACATTAGTCCGACTAATTCGAATATGCATCACATATAACTTGTACTTATATTCTATCACCTTATTGAACCTGTGAATAACAAGCAATGGACAAATACTTTTGATCTAAAATGTGAATAATCACCAATCAACAATACAGCATCTTACATTTTATTTGTAAAAATCCACTCCAATAGAGAAATTACATATCATGTAACACATCAAGAAATGCTTATAATAAAAGGCAGTCCGGTGCACGAAGTATTCCGGCCAACTCTGGAGGGGTGATGTAAACGGCCAACTCTAATGCAGTCATTAGTGACTGATTTCACGGCTCGAACCCGTGACAACTTACCATTGCGCCAAGGCTCCCCTTCATGCTTATAATAAACTTACATCTAATGAAGTAAAATCTTGAAGCTCTTTGTCTTGTTCAAACAATTCCATTTCTTGATCAGACATAACAACCCAAGCTTCAATTCCACCAGAATATTTTAAAGAATCCAAAAGAACAATATGATCTTTAATTCCAAGAATTGCAACAATAGCCAAAATAGACTCACCCCATCCAAAATTTACTCCATTAATTGGAAAATTACACCAACTTCCAATTCTTAACACCTTAATATCATCCCCTTGACTTAATAATTCTCCAACCTGATTAAAATTACTCTTAACAAACTCAAAACCATTTTCTCCACGAATTTTCTCCGTGTAATTACCATCAATTCTCTCAATTACATTCTTTATTTTTCCTACTAAAGAAAACCATTCATTTTCAACATTTCCTATAGCACTTGATACTAAGAAAAAATTTCCAAATGAATTTTCAGGCAAGGGTGGAACTATTTTCTTCCTTATATTTACTGGCAAAATTGCAATAGAATTACACCCTTTTGCAGCCATAAAACATTTCCATAATAAAGCTGTAATTACTTCAACGCGCGTTACACGTTCCTTATTATAACCTGAATTAATTACCTTAGTCTTCATTTTTACTATATTTGAAGCAGTAAAAATGAATCTTTTTACAACTAATTTTTCAACTACAGGTTGAATTGCTACACATTTTTCACTTGACATGGAATTATGAACTATTTCTCTAGGTGGAAAAAATGATGATAAAGATATGAAAATAGAGTCATTTATTACCTTTTTGTTGCTTCTTAATTCTTCACTTGTATTGCACCAATTCTTGATAAATGTACAAAGACTAGAAGCATCACCAATTTTATGTGAAATACTTATACTAATAGCAATTCCACCACATGTAAATAAGTTAACTTGAATGGCTAAAAGTTCTTGAAAATTTGATATTGTTCCATCTGAATTATAAGGTGTGAGTTGGACTAATTCATTGGATTTTGGATTCTTGATAATGTCTAAAAGTGAAACATTCACTTGAACTTCTGCATAATAAACACCTTGATCATTGCAATCAATTGAATATTGAGAACTCATTCTACCAGCCAAAGGGTAAAATTGAGTTAAAATTTGTGAAAGTGAAGTTTTTAAATGGCTACATATTTCTGATTGTGGGATTGTTTCATTCTTGTTGTAGAAAAGAATTAGTGGAATAGATGAATGAGGAATTATTTCATCTATAAAAGAGATTTTGTGGTTTCTATGTTTAAGTGGAGTTGGAGAAGATGGCTTGATATGTTCTTCACAAAGCTTTTCAATCTTCATTTTTTTCTTGATATTGTATGAGAAGAATGTAGCTTGGTTCTTGGTTATATACTGACAGCGGAGGCGGAACCAGGATTTTAACTTTATGGGTTCTGAATATTTGGACCGTGATTTCACGTGTTAATGACTGAATTCTAGATTTAGTATTTATACATATTTTATGAATTCAAAATGCTAAATATATTATTTAAGTAAAAGTTACTGGTTTCGGCCGAACAAGTAGGTCAGCTTGTGCCTCCGTCCCTGACTGACAGTATAAGATTTTTTACACTTTCAGGTAACTAGAAAGATAATTGCAGATA